GTCTTCGTGTCCTTCTTGCAGTTCTACTCTGGGATCAAACGGTCCGCGCCGCGCGCCTCGTTCGTCTCATAGATGCTCAACACAGTCGTTCGCTCTTTAGATTGGACCTGTTAATCCGGACCATCGTAGTCTTTGCACTCAGCACGGGCTCGCTCAACGTGTGCGTGCCGTCCCGCGCCGTCTCTCTACGCGGTCTCGGCGCTGACGGTCTGCGCACACAGCATCCTCTCGACCTGCGGCGTCGTCGTCGTGAGCCACCCCATCCTCCGTGCAGCCCGGCAGCAGTAGCCGCTGACCGCCCGCGAGCAGTACAGCGTGGTTCCGGGTAGTTATGTGTTCGTCGCTACGATCTGGGTCTTCTGCCAGCGTGCGTGTCTCTCTTTTTTTCTTACGCGCCTGCTGACCTCCCATCCGCCTCCGCGCGCAGTCGAGATCTGCTCGTTTTTCGCCGTGCTCAACACCGAGAAGGAGCTCGTGCACCGCTCGCTGAACCACGCCCAGCTCGCTCGCGGCACGGCCGGGGAGACTATCCAGTTCACGACGAGGCTCGACGTCGGCTCGTTCCCGGCACGCTCCAGTCGTCGATGGGTGCGTCGACGAAGGCGGGTTAGATCAGGGAGGGTCGAGCCGGTTAGGGTCGACCGGGCAAGGTTGCGACGGGTACGGATACGGGCGGAGGGGAAGCGTGGTGGTTTCGGGGGCGAGCGCGGGAAGAGGGAAGGGGGTGGAGTTTGTGGACGGGGGACGCACTGGTGAGGAGGAGGGGGGTCTTGACCGGACGAGAAAGGTGAGTTTGTGCGTTTGTGCGTGCTAGCATGTGCGTGCTAACTATGTGGTCCAGTCAGAGCTTTCCGTGTAGGGCGCTGGACTGACTGGATGGCTGCACCCTCGCATCTCTGCTCTCGAGTCTCTCACTCTCCTCTCATGCCCTCGCACGTCGCATTTGTACTGACGCATACTCCGCAATCTCTCAGCCTGCAGTCTAATTCTACGCCTCATAAACATTAATTCTACTGCACGTTAGTCTTCCGTTTCTCATCAGAGTCCGTCGCTCTCCTCACTTCGTTGACCTCGACCCCATCTCTCCCCCGCGCTCTCGCCCCTTCTAAGACGATCCTGAGCCGTCGGTACCCCACACCGCTTTGCCGCCTACGCACACAGGCCTACTACAGCCGCAGCCTCTCAATTTCCTCTGCATGAACACGCGACTCCAACTCTCGGTCTCAAGCTCCGGCGTGTCATGGCAGGTACGTCTGACTCTCCAGGATCAGCGCGTGTCGCTTGAGCCTCGAGGGACACGAGCAGTGCTGCGTTCTGAGCGGGCGTGGTCTCGCGACGTGTGCGCATCGGCGCATCGGCGCTCAGGTCACCCGCGTGGCGGAGGCGCGAGCGGGCGGGGCCCAGTGCAAAACGTCGCAGTCGCGATGGCTAGGCTCGGGCGCTTTCCCACGACGCGCGATGGGCGTGCATGTGCGCACCACTGCACCAGCTGCGCCGAAGGCGACGAGACGCGCGTGTCGTCGCCGACACCGCGCGTCTGCTCGTAAGTATTTGGGAGCGCGGTGCGCAGGGTCGGGATCGCCGGAGGTGACAGAGGGCGCGCGCGCGTGTGTATGGCCGGGAACCGTGCGTGCCAGTTTTCGACGCCACGGAGGGGGCCGCGCCGCTCGGGGACGAAGGCTGGCGTGCCGCGTTTGTTGCGTCGATGTCGATACATATGGCCCTCGATCGGCATGCGCTCGACAGCGGCGCTGCGGGCGTGCGAGGTGTCGCGACGGACGGACGTCTGATGAGCGAGAGCGCAGCGCCGGTTGCAGCTGCTGTCGTGGGCGGTGAGTGGTGATGCTTGGCGCCGAGGAGGCCGCGGGTAGCAGGGAAATTAAGGAGATTGCGAATGGCGGCGGCAGTGGGCACGGCGCGACGCAAAGAAGGAGGAGGGGGAGGAGGAGGAGGAGGGGGTTGAAAGAGAGAGACCGATTCAGCATCTCCCCTACAGGGAGATGCCCCAGAACCAGCAGCTTGGTTGGAGGGAGATTAATCGGAGCGCGGAATAGAGGGAGAGCGGAGCAAGGCTCGAGACGCGCTCGCGGAGAGGACTGTACATAACGGTCCACTGCGGAGGCAGAGGGAGACATATCAGCCGCCTACGCTATTTGAGACAGCTCCGGTCGTGAGGTTTTGTAAGCGACCGCGACCGCTCGACTCGGACGAGAACATAGAGGCGACCGCGGCGGGACCGCGGGCCCTTTCCCGTCGGGTGGCGGCCGGCGCGCCGCGCGCGTGGAGGCGCGCGCATCGGAGGACGGAGAGCCGGGTCGCCCAGAGTCTCTGAGGCGGTCGACGTTGAGTTGACAACGATGTGACGCACGAGAAAGCGGTCGAGGGCGCGTGCGCAGGGGAGGTGCTTGTAGCCGGCTTGGAGCAGAATTTACGCCTCGAGCACCCTTTCAAGCAGGCTCGGGGCGTGGGGTTGAGGTTGGTACGGACGCTTGGAATCTACAAATCACCATGGTGCGCAGTTTATCGCCCCGCCCACTCGCCAGTTTGTTGTCTCTGGTCAAGCCGACGAAGTGGCGAGACTTTCCGGGATGGTCAGCCATTCAAGCCCCTGAACGCTACAGCTGGAACACTACGTGTTTGTCTTTGCTCCCCAAGCTTTTCAGCACGCCGCGCACGTCCTCACCACCTGGTAATCTCTCACACGCATCTAGAGCAAACGGCGAGTGTTTCGTCCAAGGTTTCGTACGTTGATGTCTGGAGCGTCTCTGCGAAGCTGGTTGCGTCCCACGACATATGACTCTGAGTGTCCTGTCTTCTTCAAGATCTGCACTGCACAAACAGTTCACCCGCCCCGGGATCGGCTCGGTGATCTACAGTGACGGTCAAAAATAATGCACACCCTGGCTCTGACGTCTAGTGCGCTTCATGGCGGGCTCGAATCTCGTCCGTTTTGGATGATATCTGTATGTACGGGTAGATATTCTGAATTAGAACCTGTGGGTACTTGTTTGAGAAGATTCGGACTAGTATTGAGCGAGATAGGAGGCAAACTCTGTGAGCCACCTTGTCACAGCTGTCACAGCTGTGGGCAGGGGGCGACAATGCATGTCCGTAGAAGCAGAACAGCAGAGAGTTGAGAGCTGCGATTTATTTGAGGCTTATTGGGAGTCTGAATGATGCTCTGTGTAGGAATTTCAGGCTGTAAAAACTTCTGGTCGGGTCATGTTTGAGCAAACATGGTTTTGAGCTTCCTCAACTCAAATCCGACCATTTATTCGCACAGGCTCGGTCTGACTGCTACTGCAACAATATGGAATATTTTTAACATGCTCATAGACGTGATTGATGCAAAAAACCAGAGGAGAAAAGGTGCAGATGTGGTTGTAGAAGGTGCACTGTGGTATTGATCAATGTCACACACATCACAAATCGATGTCTAGAACAGGACAAAGGACCCTGTGAGGCACGAAACTGCTGTGAGAACTTCCCATAAAGAAAGGCTTTCAGATAAGGCACGCAAGGTTGGCCGCTATGGCTTCGTTGCATGGGTACATACTCAGGAAGTTGCCTGATGTGACATGTGTGGCTTCACCAAGTATCCCCCGTCCCATGTTCGCCGTGTTTTTCGCAATTCGTGCATGGTATGTGTATGTATCAACTTTATAAGTCTCTGAAATGTGCTCAAGCTAAAATTCCAGAATACAGACAGCCAGGAAGGCAAAACAATGGAGGCAGGGCAATCATTGAATATGATCATGTCACATCAGGCAACTTCCTGAGTATGTACCCATGCAACGAAGCCATAGCGGCCAACCTTGCGTGCCTTATCTGAAAGCCTTTCTTTATGGGAAGTTCTCACAGCAGTTTCGTGCCTCACAGGGTCCTTTGTCCTGTTCTAGACATCGATTTGTGATGTGTGTGACATTGATCAATACCACAGTGCACCTTCTACAACCACATCTGCACCTTTTCTCCTCTGGTTTTTTGCATCAATCACGTCTATGAGCATGTTAAAAATATTCCATATTGTTGCAGTAGCAGTCAGACCGAGCCTGTGCGAATAAATGGTCGGATTTGAGTTGAGGAAGCTCAAAACCATGTTTGCTCAAACATGACCCGACCAGAAGTTTTTACAGCCTGAAATTCCTACACAGAGCATCATTCAGACTCCCAATAAGCCTCAAATAAATCGCAGCTCTCAACTCTCTGCTGTTCTGCTTCTACGGACATGCATTGTCGCCCCCTGCCCACAGCTGTGACAGCTGTGACAAGGTGGCTCACAGAGTTTGCCTCCTATCTCGCTCAATACTAGTCCGAATCTTCTCAAACAAGTACCCACAGGTTCTAATTCAGAATATCTACCCGTACATACAGATATCATCCAAAACGGACGAGATTCGAGCCCGCCATGAAGCGCACTAGACGTCAGAGCCAGGGTGTGCATTATTTTTGACCGTCACTGTACGTCTGTCGCTTTAATTAGCTGTATTACGTGGTTGTCGTGACGTCCGATTGCATGAAGACCATCCAGAGTCGACGGGCACGCACCAGAGCACACTGTGGGCAACCGTGGTCTGGCCACCTGGTGCTACCTTTATCCTCCTAGAGATCTGCACTTGATCCATGTACTATGGGCGGTGGAATGATGTCAGAGTTCACTCCTATGCGCCATTTGTATATGTGTCGAGCGTCTGCATTACCCTATGAAGACGCCAAACGGTATTCGGCTCTTTGCTGCCAGGACGTCGTCGTTGGGCCGCTCTCCGACGTCGTTTCATTTAAGGTGTTGCCGTCGCGCCCTCAGGGCCCCACCTGGTCTCCTCTCTGCCCTCAAAGTCTACGCCTCCGTTCTCGATCTCTCTCTCTAGCTCGGTGACGGCCCTGTTCCCGCCTCCCCGCATCCAATCCCGCCGCGGCCCGCACCGACGCGCACCGACCACTCTCCGCCGGTCGCGGACGGATGAGGATCGCTCGCCGCGACGCCCCCAGCACCCTGTCGAATGTCCGACCCGCCCTCGCTGCCGACGCCCTCTTCCCTCGACCTGACGATCGGCGCCGAGCTCGTCGGACTCGGCGTCTCTCTCGCGTGCGTCGCCTCGTGTTTCTCGATCGCGCCTTCACGCTGCTGACGCGCGACGCCGCGGCGAATGGCAGGCTCTATGGCGCGACGACTGGCCAGCTGCTCTGGTACTTTCGGAAGCTCGACGGGTTGAGCCTGAGGAAGTGGATGGTCTACTACGTGAGTCTTCGTTCGTTCTTGTGCGCATATAGTCAGGTTGGACGGGCGTTTGTAGGTCGTGGCGTTATGGTGAGCTTGTACAAGTTCTGCAGAGCCGCAGCGGGAAGTCTTATGCCGCTTTTCCCATACCAGGTTGTTGGGAACCGCGCATGTTGTGCTCTGCTGTTACCTGCTGGCCAGATACGTCGTCATCGGAAGGGGTGACCTTGTCGCCATCTTTGGCTCCACGAATATTTACTCGGTGCGGCTCCATGAACCTCTGCCGCGTCTGTGCTTACATGTGCCGGTGACGTTGACCTTCCAGGCAAGTGCGATGACGTCGGTGAGCGATAGCTATTGCTCGATAATGCCCTCGCCAGCCTCTCACATACTCGCCCTTCTCTATCGCAGGACATCAGCAGCGCCATGGTCCGGTTGTAAGTACCAACCTCGGCTGTGCAGTGTCAAATGCTCACACGAGCACCACACCGCAGTGGATACTTCTACAGGATCTGGAAATGTGAGCCTCGCGATCTGCTCATGTCTCGCGCTGACCGATGACATGATCTTCCAGTCAACCGTAGGCGATATCTCATCTTGATCATTCTGGTTCGTACACGCATCTCTTCACCGTAGATGACGTACGAGTGCCTCTTTCAGGGTGCTGTCTTGACACTGCTAGTGACTGCAATGGCCCTTTGTGAGTGCGCTTCGTCCGTTTGGTTTCCCATCGGCGCTGACTTGCTTGTACGCGAGTCAAGTCTTCAGCATCGGCGCGTGAGCTGTCTCCGGCACGTCTTTCGGAACGTAAGCTGACGTGTCGCAGAGCCCGCTTGGATTTTTCCTGGCAAATTGCTGAAGCGCATCTGACCGTGAGCATTCGCCGTGCTGTGATCTCATCCTGCCGGTCGTCTGACAGAATTGTTCCAACTCGCTAGTGGACGTTCTTCCTCGCGTCCGGCGCGGAGATCGTGATCGACTTGATGATCTCCTTCGCCGTCTTTGCGTCCTTGCTGCGGTTCTACACCGGGATCAAACGGTCCGCGCCGCGCGCTTCGCTCGTCTCGCAAATGCTCAACACAGCTGTTCGCTCCTCAGATTGGACCTGTTGATCCGGACCATCGTGGTCTTTGCACTCAGCACGGGCTCGCTCAACGTGTGCGTGCCGTCTCACGTCTTCTCTCTGCGCGGCTCCGCTGACCGTCTGCGCATACAGCATCCTCTCCACCTGCGACATCATCCTCGTAAGCCATCCTCCGACCCGACCCGGCCGGCGCCGCTGACCGCCCGCGAGCAGTTCAGCGTGCTTCCGGCGAGCTACGCGTTCGTCGCCGTGTACTGGGTCTTCAGCCAGCGTGCGTGTCTCGCCCTCGCTAGATCTCTTGCTCTTCTTCTTCTGCGCCTGCTGACCCCGCACCCGCACGCAGTCGAGATCTGCTCGTTCTTCGCCGTGATCAACGCCGAGAAGGAGCTCGTGCACCGGTCGCTGAACCACGCCCGGCTCGCGCGCGGCGCCGCCGGCGAGACGATCCAGCTCACGACGAGGGTCGAGCTCGGCTCGTTCGTGGGCACGCTCCAGCCGTCGGTCGGCGGCGTGGAGGAGGGCGAGTCAGAGTGGGGTGGGTCGAGCCGGTTGGGGTCGGTTGGGCAAGTGTGCTACGAGTGTGGGTACGGGCGGAGGGGATGCGCGGTAGGTCCGGGGGCGGGCACGGGGAGGGGGAAGGGGTGGAGTTTGTGGATGGGAGACGCGCTGTTGACGGCGTGGAGCAGGAGGGTCTTGACAGCACAAGAAAGGTGAGTTTTCGCCTCTGCGTCCAAGAATACACGCGCTAACTACGCGGTACAGTCGGGATTTTCCGTGTAGCGCGCCGGACTGACTAGCTAGATGACACTCTCTGGATGGCTGCGACCCCGTGTATCTGCCAAGATCATGCGATTTGCATTTCTGCTCGCGAGTTTCTCGCTCTCCTCTCGTGCCCTCGTACGTCGCATCCGTACCGACGCGTACCCCGCAATCCCTCAGCCTGCAGTCTAATTCTGCGCCTCGCGTCTACTGCACGTTAGTCTTCCTTTTCTCATCAGAGTCCGTCGCTCTCACTCCGTTGACCTCGACCTTCATATCTACCCCGCGCTCTCGCCCCTTCTACGACGATCCTGAGCCGACCGTACCCCACACCTCTACGCCGCCTACGCACACGGCCTATAACCGCAGCCCCTAAATTTTCTCCTTATGAACACGCGACTCTAAGCCTTGTTTTCCAGCTCCCGCGTGTCATGGACGTCCGCAGCCCAGCGCGTGTCGCTCGAGCCTTGAGGGACACGAGCAGCGCTGAGTGTCAGGACTGGGACTGGTCTAGTACGCGACGCGAAGCTTCCGCGATCGCGCGCGCCGGGCCATTATTTCTTTCGCTCGCGCCGGGCTCTCCCGGCGCTCCCCCTTCATCTCCCGATCTCTCTTTTCGTTGATCACTCCGTGTTTGTTTGTTAGGACGACGGCTTGCTTACGGTACAAGCTACTGTAACGCAGCTCCGGCTCCGACACCATATATATCGAGGTCGCGCCGCTCTGTAGTAGCCAGCTTTTCGGGATGCGACTGTTCCCCACTCACTTTCGTGTGCCGACTCGCTCTCGTGTTCGCCTCTCCTCGACCGGCGTCTCCTCTCGACTCCCTTCGACACCCCCGACGCTTCACCGAGCTGGCGGCGACTTCACACTGAGCGGGCGGGGGCCTGGCGACGCGTGCGCATCCGCCCCGCCCGTATCGCGCGCGCGGCGGCAAGTAGGTGTGGTGCATGCAAATTTAAAACATCGACGCACGTGGACGGACAGTCATGTATGCGTGCCGCCGGAGGAGGACGACGCGCGTATGCGTGTCGCCGAGGGGCCGTGCCGCGCGTCCGCGCGCGTTTCGAAGCGGGGGCGGCAGAAGAAGGCAGCGTCGGGCCAACGTCGGGCGCGGAGACGAGCGAGGAACTGTGATTTCGACGCCGCGTCGGAGGGAGCGCTCCGAGCCGCGGACGGCGGTTGTGTCGACATCGAGATGACCGGCGATCGGCGTGCGCGCCAGCCCGGCGCTGGGGGCTTGCAGGGTGTCGGCGCGACGGACGGACGGCCGAGTCGACGTCCGATGAGCGTGAGCGCGACGCCGGGTGCAGCTGGTGCGGTGGGCCGTCGCGGTGGTGCCACTTGACGCCGAGGAGGCCGCGGATGGCAGGGCGATTGGATTGCGAAGGACCCGGTACCGGTGGCACGGCGCGACGGAGAGGTGCGGCAGCTTGGTTTGACGGAGGAGATGCATCGGAGAGCGGGATGGGGGGAGAGCGGAGCAAGGCCCGAGGCGCGCTCGCGGAGAGGACACTTGTTACTGTAATCCAGTCTGCTGGTCTCTCTACGCACTGACTCCGAGTCCTAGCGGAAGTTGGGCATGGCCCGGCGCATGCAGGGACGGACGTCGACACGCTGCGGGTTGGAAAACGAGTCCGTCGGTTGTCGGGAGCTCGGGATCTGAGCGCGGAGGAATGAGCGCAAAGAGCGATAATGGTGAGAAGACGGAAGCGCGGCTGGCGTAGACGCTCAGCGCTCAGCTGGACGTAGGGCCCACGCCGCCGCTCCACGGAGACAGAGAGAGAGATATAAGCCGCCTACGCTATTTGATGCAGTTCCGGTCGTAACGTTGTGTAAGCGATCGCGACGGCTCGTTTCGGACCAGAAAATAAGTACAGCTGACCGCGGCGGGACCGCGGGCCCTTTCCATCGGGTGGCGGCCGGCGCGCGTGGAGGCGCGTGCGTCGGAGGGGGTGCGGATGGAGAGCTGGGTTGGCCAGAGTCTCATCGGGTCATGAGGCGGTCGAGGGCGCGTGCGCAGGGGAGGTGCTTGCAGCCCGCCTGGAGCAGAATTCAAGCCTCGAGCACCCCGGATCCGAGCTTCAAGCTTCAGCTTTCAAATAGACTCAGGACTTGAAGTTGAGGTTTGTGCGGACGCTTGGATCTTGCTCACCATTCTGGTGCGCAGTTTATGGTCCCGCCTACTCGCCATGGGATGGCCAATCATACAAGCTCAAGCCTGAGGCCTGAGGCTTGAACACTGTAGCCGGCGGAACACTACATGCAAATTGCATGTCCGTCTTTGCTTCCCAAGCTTGTCAACACGCGCGCATCCTCGCCACCGCATACGCTCTGTTTTGTTTGGCTCTGAAGTCTCTGAGGTTTCGTCTGTTGATGTTTGAAGCGTCTCTGCGGGGCTGGTTGCGTTCCGCTACATATGAGTATCCCGTCTGCTTGAAGATCAGCACTGCACAAACAGTTCACCCGCCCCGGGATCCGCTCGGTCATCCCCGTCCGTCGCTTTAATTAGCTGTATTACGTGGTCGAGGTCGTCGTGACGTCCGATTTCAAGGCCATCCAGAGTCGACGGGCACGCACCATCGCACACTGTACATAAGCAGCCATGATATGAGCACCTCAGGCTATTGCTACCCTTATCCTCCTCGAGATCTGTACTTGATCCACGTACGATACACTTGTATACCTTTCGAGCGTCTGCATTACCAGATCTGGCACAGCGTCGGGTAGAGGGAAGACGCCCAACGGTACTTAAGTATTCGGCTCTTGGATTTTTGCTGCCAGCCTGACGTCGGCGTTGGGTTGCTCACTGTTCCTTTTAAGGTGTTGCCGTCGTGCCCTCAGGGCCTCGCCCTCTTTTGGCCTCCAGTTTCCTCTCTGCCCCCAAAGTCTACGCCTCTGTGCAACCGCCCCTGATCTCTCTCCAGCTGGCTGACGGCCCTGTTCCCGCCTCCCCGCATCCAATCCCGCCGCGGCCGCCCCGACGCGTCCCGAGCCCCCGCCCCCACTCTCTGCTGGTCGCGGACGGATGAGGATCGCTCGCCGCGACGCCCCCAACACCCTGTCGAATGTCCGACCCGCCCTCGCTGCCGACGCCCTCTTCCCTCGACTCGACGATTGGCGCCGAGCTCGTCGGACTCGGCGTCTCGCTCGCGTGCGTCGCCACGTGTTTCTCCATCGCGACTTCACGCTCCTGACGCGCGACGCCGCGGCGAATTGCAGGCTCTATGGCGCGACGACTGGCCAGCTGTTCTGGTACTTTCGGAAGCTCGACGGGTTGAGCCTGAGGAAGTGGATGGTCTACTACGTGAGTCTTCGTTCGTTCTTGTGCGCATATAGTCAGGTTGGACGGGCGTTTATAGGTCGTGGCGTTATGGTGAGCTTGTGCTTCTGCAGGCAGCAAAGCAGCTGCAGGAAGTCTTATGCCGCTTTTCCCATACCAGGTTGTTGGGAACCGCGCATGTTATGCTCTGCTGTTACCTGCTGAGCAGATACGTCGTCATCGGAAGGGGTGACCTTGTCGCCATCTTTGGCTCCACGAAGATTTACGCGGTGCGGCCCTCCATGAACCCCTGCCACGTCCATGCTTACGTGTGCCGTTGACGTTGACCTTCCAGGCAAGTGCGACGACGTCGGTGAGCGATAGCAGTTGCTCGATAATGCCCTTGCCAGCCTCTCACATGCTCGCCCTTCTCCATCGCAGGTCGTCAGCAGCTGCATGGTCCGGTTGTAAGTACCAACCGAGGTTGGTTGTGCAGCGTTAAATGCTCACACGAGCACCACACCGCAGTGGATACTTCTACAGAATCTGGAAATGTGAGCCTCGTGATCTGCCCAGTCATCGTATCGCGCTGACCCATGCGCCTCCAGTCAACCGCAGGCGATATCTCACCTTGATAATTCCGGTTCGTACCTGCGTTTTTTCACCATGGATATGGATGATGTATAACTTGTGGCTCTCTTAGGGTGCTGTCTTGGCATTACTGGTGGCTGCAGTGTCCCTTTGTGAGTGCGCTTCGCCCGTTTGGTTTCCCACCGGCGCTGGAGCCGCCTCAGTACAGGTTATGCATAAAACCCTGTGAGAGCGCCCCGGGTTTATGCATACGGTACCTTATGCATACACAGATATATGCATAAACATTGAAGTATGCATACAGCGGTAAGAGCGTCAATATCCGTAAACAAAAGGACAGCCTCGTGAATCGAACCCGCAGCCTCTTGACATTGTACACGTACGACACAACAGACCACTACGCCAATGTTCCATGTTCTTTGTGCGTTGCTTACAGAATATATACTCTCTTCAATACTGACATAAACACAAGGCTTTTGTTGAACTCGTCGTTCATCACAGTCCAGTCATACTTCTTAACACTGCTTGCATACTCGCCCTCTCCTCGGGATGCCTACCTATGTCTAAGATTGTGTTTATACATACATCCGGTTTATTGTGTTTATACATACATCCGGTTTATGCATACGCCCCGTTTATGCATACAGCGCGTTTATGCATACGATTCGTTTATGCATACGATTCGTTTATGCATACGATTCGTTTATGCATACGATTCGTTTATGCATACAACGCGTTCATGCATACGGCCGGTTTATGCATACGGCCGGTTTATGCATGCGGCGTGATTATGCATGCGGCGTGATTATGCATACGGCGCATTTATGCATACGCCCCGTTTATGCATAAACGGTGCGTATGCATAAATGGTTCATATGGGTAAACACAGCGTATACCGGTGGGGCAAGACGACAGTCGTAAACCCCAGGGCCGAGTCCACGGCGGTGAAGGCGACAATGAACATAGAGGGCTGGTGTAAGCGTAGAAATGGGGAATCCGGGATATGACGCGTTGCGGGGAAAGCGAACGCGAAGAGAGTTGGATCACGGGAACAGAGGTGCGCGAGGAGGTCAGAATGGACGAGACCGAGGAGGATGACGAGCGCGAGTGCGACACCGAGGGCCCGTCAACATCCACTCTCCCAGCGCACCTCACCCACTCATCGCTGTCGGCTCACCATGCCGCCTATGAGCATCGAGCACCGCAACGTGAGTGTTCTTATCGTTCCACTTACATACGTTTTCTGACGATTCCGACCATCGCACGCAGACCTTGCATCAGATTATGCGGGGTCCGTACATGGATATGGAGGTCGCACTAGTATGTGAGGTACGTATTCCGGCTTCATTGCCACGACGATGCGCTAACATGTGCGCTTCAGGCCATCCAGAACGGCCTTGGAGGTCGCATCAAGGTGAAGAAGAACAACGGCGGGAGCCTTACGTTCCCCCATGGCCGCTGTAGGTTCTTACATCGGACGACCGTGAGTTGGGGCTGGCACCCGGTAAGTCGCATTCTATTACGCGTGTGAGGGCAAACTGACGGAGCGTTGCAGGATCATGGCGGCGGTGGCAAGGGAAAGGGCAAGAAAAGGTCCGCGAAGGGGAAGGATTTCCGATCGGACGTAGTGGCCGCGTGAGTGCTTCTCCTCTCGTATCTATCCGCCTGTTACTTACCGTATCGCATAGGTTGGGTCGCAAACTCATCGAGGCGCTTGGCCTGGACAACGTCCAAGGCGGGTTTAACCTCCAGAAGTGGAACAGAATCTGCGCTCGCAACTGGGTGCGCCCTTTGTAGAGGGCCGTAGAGGGCGTAGTAATGTTTTGTTTCGTAGAATGCTTCATACTATTCGTGCTCTTGCAAGTACGCGCGGGCGGGCCGTGAGATGAGACGCGTCTCTGAGAAAAGCGGGATGTGATCGACCCGCACGTCATCCAGGCACTGTGGGGGTGGCTGTGCCCGAGGAATACCTCCGCGCGGTCCCCAGCCCTTCCGCCTCACTCAGCTATCCTGGCCTGCGCGGCGAGCGTGAGGTACGTACTCACCCAGTCCGGCCTCATCCTCACACCCATGACTGTCGACGCGTCCACCAGGCACCGACGCTAGGGCTCTCCCTCGACCCCTGCGTCCTTGCAACGTTGCTCCATTGTCTACGACTCACATGCACTCGTCGTCCCTCGACACGCTAGCGCGCCTCCGCCCGACTCCTATGCATCGTGTCCTCGCGCGCGTCCTCCGGGCACGTCGTCCATCGCGCCTCGCGCGTCCATCGCGCCTCGCACGCCCATCGCGATCCGCCCGCGTTCACCCCAGGATCGATACGGCAGCCTCCGCGTGGAGACGAAACGCATCTGGACGCGCCGCGCGTTCCCGTTCGCCCTCGATCTTGCCTTTTCCACGCTCGTCATCCTCCTCGGTCTCGTCTAATCCATCCTCCTCACGCACCATGCATTCCCGCGATCCAACTCTCTTCGTGTTCGCTCTCCCTGCGACGCGTCGTATCTTGCTTCGCCTCTCTTCTACTCGATGTCCCCAGTCCCTTGCTTACGCCGGCTCGTTATCTCGGCTTAACTCGGCCCTGAAGTTGAAGGTGCATGAGTATCGTCTTGCCCCACCTGTATACGACACATTTATGCATATGAACCGTTTATGCATAAACATTGGTATGCATAAACGCCGCGTATGCATAGACGGTTGGTATGCATAAACACCGCGTATGCATGAACGGGGTGTATGTATAAACACCTCGCATGCATAAACACGTCGTATGCATAAACACGTCGTATGCATAAACACGTCGTATGCATAAATGTGTCGTATGCATAAACACGTTGTATGCATAACCGGGCTGTATGCGTAAACCGGCATTATGCATGAACGCGTTGTATGCATAAACGTGTTTATGCATAAACGAATCGTATGCATAAACGTGTTGTATGCATAAACGAATCGTATGCATAAACGGGGCGTATGCATAAACTTACTTGTGTTGTCGGCATAGTCACTTACGCCTCTACAGGAAGCAAATGATACGTTGTGTGCTGCACAGGTGAGCTGATATCCGTTGGACATGTGTGGGAGATCATAGTTGGCGTCTTGCATTACCCACAGTTGTGAGAGGATGGTCAGCTGGGGAGGATGGGAGTACATTAAGTCGACGTATTGAGAAAATATAACGGTACATATGAAGAAACATATCAGCAGTTTTAATGGACTCATGGCGCAGCGGTAGAATTGCCTCCCACCTCCCCCTTTTGGTTGGGTCGGGTGTTCGATTCCCCATTGCGTTGTTTTGTTTACGGACATTGACGCCTCTACAGTTGTATGCATACACCAATGTTTATGCATATATTCGCGTATGCATAATTCACAATATGCATAAGCTCGGGGCGCTCTAACAGGGGTTTATGCATATCATGTACTGCTATGTATGCGGCGCTGACGTGCTTGTATGCGAGTCAAGTCTTCAGCATCCGCTCGTGAGCTGTCTCCCGCATCTCCTTCGGAACGTAGGCTGACGTATCGCAGAGCCCGCTTAGATTTCTCCTGGCAAATTATAGATGCGCACCTGACCGTGAGCGTTCGTCGTGCTGTGACCTTATCCTGCCGGTCGTCTGACAGAGTTCGAACAAATCGCTAGTGGACGTTCTTCCTCGCGTCCGGCGCGGAGATGGCTATCGACTTCATGATCTCCTTTGCCGTCTTTGCGTCTTTCCTGCGGTTCTACACCGGGATCAAACGGTCTGCGCCGCGCGCCTTGTTCATTTTGCAGATGCTCAATACAGTCGTTCGCTCCTCAGATTGGACCTGTTGATCCGGACCATCGTGGTCTTTGCACTCAGCACGGGCTCGCTCAACGTGTGCGTGCCGTCTCACGCCTTTCTGCGCGGACCCTACGCTGACCGTCTGCGCACACAGCATCCTATCGACTTGCAGCATCATCCTCGTAAGCCACCCTCTTCTCCGTCGGCCTGACCCGGCCGCGGCTGCTGATCGCCTGCGAGCAGTTCAGTGTGCTTCCGTCGAGCTACGCGTTCATCGCCGTGTTCTGGGTCTTCAACCAACGTGCGTGCCTCTCTTCTTCTTCTCCCCCGCGCCCGCGCCCTCGCTGACCCCACGCCCACGTGCGCGCCCGCGCCCGCACCCAGTCGAGATCTGCTCGTTTTTCGCCGTGCTCAACGCCGAGAAGGAGCTCGTGCACCGGTCGCTGAACCACGCCCGGCTCGCGCGCGGGGCGGCGGGCGAGACGATCCAGCTCACGACGAGGGTCGAGCTCGGCTCGTTCGCGGGCACGCTGCCGCCGTCGATGGGCGGCGTGGAGGAGGGCGAGTCAGATTGGGGAGGGTCGAGTCGGTTGGGGTCGGCTGGGCAACTTTGCTGCGAGTATGGGTACGGGCGGAGGGGATGCGCGATGGGTTCGGAGGCGAGCGCGGGGAGGGGGAGGGGGAAGGGGGTGAGGCTGAGCGGGGTGGATTTTGTGGATGGGAGACGCGCCGGTGAGGAGGAGAGTCTTGACCGGACGAGAAAGGTGAGGTTTCGCGTCTGTGCGTCTGAGGATGTGCGCGCTAACTACGCGGTACAGTCGGATTTTTCCGTGTAGCCCGCTGGAATGACTGGGTTGCGTATCTATGCCAAGCTTGTGCCCATTGTTTTCGAGTCTCTCGCTCTCGTCGCATCAGCTCTCGCACATCGCATCTTAGATACTGACGCACCCCCCGGAATCCCTTAGCGGCCCCGCCCGCGCAGCGGACAGGTCGAGTACCGAGTCAGTGGGGCCAAGCTCGCGATCGATGCGCCGCGTGCTCGTCTCGTCGCGACTGGAGATCGCGCCTCCGCCACGACGGACGACGGAGGGCTCGATGCGCATCGCACCGGCGTCGACGCAGATGCGTCGGGCTCGTCGGAGGCGAGAGCGTGTGCGAGGACGGCGGCCAGGCTCCTACCCAGCCGTCGATTCGAGTTAAGTGGCCGCGGCGCTGAGCGAGAACGCGGCGCCGGTTGCGGTTGGTGCTTTGACGCCGAGGAGGCCGCGGGTGGCGGGGCGATTAGATTGCGAACAGCGCACGGCACAAGGAGGAGATGGATCAGGGTGGGGCGAAAACCTTGCTTGCAGGTATGTTCGCTCCGAACCAAGCTTGTGGGCATACGCTGGAGATGCCCGGGTGGGCATGGCGAGCCGCGCGGCGGTGCGACAAGACAAGGACAGCCTCGGAGATGTGCGCGCGAATCAGTCTCTGCTGCTCAATAATGGTGCGCATGCGCTTAGAGAGCACTAGAGTTTGTGATCGCAGAGCCTGTGGCGCATGCGACAAGTTGCTTTATGGAGCGGTTTTGATACAGCAGCGGTCGTCTCGACTTCGATCAAGTTCTCCGAGTGAACTGCACCCACCAATCACGAGGGATGATGGGTGAGCACTGAGGTGTCGATGAGACTCAGAGTCTGTTTTGGTCTGGGGGCGTTCTGTCAAAGTCTGTCAAGCAGCGGAGTCGAACCCGCCGCCCCCAAGCTGGCTCCCACGGCTCGGAGCGCGCGCACGGACACGCTCTGCTCCGCGCAAGCTCTTCTTCCCGACACCCATCTTCTGTCCCACCGTCGCCACCTTCCCCATCCGTGTGCCCTCTGCTCAAGTGCTTGCTGCTGCTGCCGCCTGCTCCCCCACTCTGCACCCGCAACCGTGAGTCGGTGCGTCTCTTCCCTGAGCGTTCTGCGGCCGATGCGTGGATACTGCACTGGGGCCATATCCACAAGGACCCGCGCGCGGTGTGGCGTAGGTGCAGCGCGCAGCGCGGTCGTGGAAGCTGGCGCAGGACGGGGGCGCGTATAGGTGGGTGCGTGTTGGGCCCGTGGTGGCGTTGGGAGATGAAAGGCCGTGGACAGTGGGCAAGTGCGGGGAGTCCGGATGAATGGCGACGGAGGACGGACAGCGTGGTGAGCTAGTCCGCAAGCTGCAGGCGGCATCGTTGTCCTGCGCTGTACCCGCGTCGTCCATCGTGTGCAGGTATGGCTCACAGTGCTCTGGTGCCGCATTTGCTGTGCCGATTCGTCGTGCATGAGCCCACGCTGACGATTTGACGATCGCAGATTCCCAATTTCCGTGCGCCATAGACAACGCGCGGCCCGGAGGAGGGACAACAAAGCACACGATGCGGGCCGTGCATCCTCCACCTCCGTCGTGGCTTCTCGCCCGATCTCTCGAAGTAGATCTCTACACGAGGCACGTTGCGTTCTGTATGCATTCCGTCATCTTCTCTCTCGGCCGCCCGCCCAATCTGGAGAGCTCTCGAACACGCCGCGCACCGCACGTTGTGCGCGCTTCACTCGCCCTGGCGTCTTCGTCGTCCCTCTGTGCGCATGCTGCATGAGTGGCGGGCCACGACGCACGCCAGAACCCAGGGAGGCGCTACGCACACAAGGATCTTCTCGTTTCTATACAGATGGGGTGCGGCGTGCTCGCTGATTCCTTTGCCCCTCGTGCCGCCGAAATCTTGGCTCCCCATCTGTATAGATCGAGTATCTCCCTTGAGCATTTGTGGCGTGCTGACGCTAGGACGGATAACGATCCGTCCTGGCGTTTTAGTCCCTCTTCTAGTACCCGGTGCTCGATTCACTGAAAACTGGGACGGTCCCGCTGATAGACGGTCCCGCAAGCCTCAACGCCTCGTTGCTCCGATGACTGGCGGGAGAGGGGTACTCGTCGCGCCTTGCCTTGCCTTGCCTTGCCTTACTCGAACGTCATAGGCGATATATCCGGCGCCGTCGGGAGCGTCGTATGCGCGCTCACTGTGGTGGCGCACTTGTACTTTTGATTTTGGTATCCGTCCTGGTATTGGGTATGCCCCAGAGACTCTGCGTTGGCTCTTGGGCCAGTACTGGTGGACGTTGGACAGTGCATGGAAGGTCGGGAGAGCCAGCGCCGTCGTCGTCTTGCACGGTGTAATCACGGTTTGACCTTGCGGTATTCCTACTTCTTCGTCCTTGCAGCGAGCGCACTCAGGACTAGTTTGTCTTGGAGGTGCGATCGTTTTCTGTGGGCATAATTGAACAGCGAAGGTTAAAGATTGAACTTCGTCGAGATCGCGGCTGTACGGCGACTGGCAGATGTCGATGAAAGAGTGGCAAGGCAGTGGAGATGGTCGGGGGATGCACACCATACGTGTTTTTTTCTAACAGTGGAGTGTCACATCTACAGTCTCGGGAGGAGCTCCTAAAGCGCAGCCCCCTCTGCCTGCACGCGCAAAGTTTTTCTTGGCGCCCTTGAACGACTGATCAACGTTCAACTAGCGTCTCCTGGCTTTCGCCGTCATCTCCACGACCTCCACTTACCACTCCTCCATCTCTTCATTCACGTCTTGGATCTCCTCTGCATACATCGGTGGTCGTCTGTTCTCTCCAGAAGCCGTCAAACATCTGCTCATTAAGGCATACGGGGTCAACGACAAAGTTGCCGGCCTTACGACGGCGAGACATTACTTCTCCACCCACCGCAATCTCGATGCGCCAAGCCTCGTCCCCTTTGGCCCTGTCGACCAATCATTCCAAGGGTGGGTTATGTGCTTTTGTTGACCGCGTCGGGTCTGCACCGGACGTCTCTCTCGACGAAGCGGCCGGATTGTACGCCAACTACTGGTTTCCCCAATCCATACGGGGTCTCGAGAAGTTCAAGGATGTCGAGTTTCGCTTCGTCAAACATGACTATCGTAGGTGGAACCGCATTGTGTCAACTTCTGCTGACGATATGGTTCGCAACTGTGGGGTTTATATGGAGCAGAGCCGAAGGGTCCGCTGGCCAGAGGGTCCGCGTATGTAGCGATGAACGGAATGAATGGCTTCGGAGGAAGGAGGAGAAAGGGGGACCTTATTCATACATTGTGAGTCTCCTGTCGCTCGTTGCCTCGCGCGCCTCTGAACATGGGTTCAGCCTCCGCCACTTCCTTCTATGCTCTGCCACAACGAGTCTTCAGAATGGTGAAACGGAGTTTGTCGAGTCGTCGGCAGAGAGGTCTACCTCGAAGCCGCGTCTCCCTCCGGTGCGTATTCCGTCTCGGTGTCGCGCCGTCTGCGGTATAACTTGCCTGCTTTGTCAGCGCATCGCAGGCAGTCTCTACAGCCCAATTGAACCTCGCGTCAGGCGTCTTCCCTTTCTAGGTGACACTCCAGATGGCCACTCCGTGCTGTATTCGACGGTCTTTGTGGCTTGTTAATGTATTTCACCACCTCTTTTTGATCCGTACGACCTCTCCGAGGTCCGATTCGGTGTGTATAACGATTCGACTGCCAGTTGGAGCAATTTTAGCAACGTACATATGTCATAGCATCGTCGCCAAATACCCTTTTCTGACATGGCGGCCATCATCGTACGGCCTCCGGCTGAGTGCGTTCGGACGCAAGATTGAATGTGCCAGCGATACGCTGTCGCGGGCTGGAGTAACGAAGTGGGCATGCGCGAGGAGGTGATTTCTGCTAAAGTTACGCGCCCAAAATGGTCAGCGAGAAAAGGTTGAGCGTAGAGTTCCCACAACTCTAAGCGCGCGCGCACCCACTGCGCCACCATTCCCTACGTATCCGGCGGCCGGCCCCTCTCTCACACGCCCTTCTCTCGATACTCAGGACGTACGACGCCACGGGAACACCAGCGCGAACCTGGTATCGGTCCAATGACATGAATGACTGCATATGCCAAGCCTTGTATTCGTCACATCATGAGGTGCGCCTCCTGTGAGAAGAACAACGCCCGTGGGTCATGGCTCGGACGTACCGATTGCGCTGGTGAGTCCCTTTCGACTGTTGGGTTCAGCTTCGTCCAAGGTTTGACTCGTGCGGCCCGTGTTACATGACGCCTATCGCAAGATGCACACAACCAAATCCACATCTTTCTTCTGGTCGAAGCTATCGGAGGGGACTATCTGGATGGAGGCGACGCCAGCAACCATGCCCAGCACTCACCCGTCACAGTCAACGTCTGTGGACGTCCACGACGGCTTCGGTTGTGACCTGTTCGGGTGCCAAAGAAAGGTTCATCTTCGGATTGCGCAGCAAGTGTCTTGTCTGCGACAGTGAGTTCTAAGTTCGTTCCCACCGCGGTATCGTGCACCACTGGACTTCATGCCATGCGCCCCGACGTCGGGCACGGATTATGAGCTCTGCACAGCGTGCTCGACCCTGCCGCGCTCTAGACACATTCGGCCGAACACCAATTCTTGGACCTTCCTTCACATGAAATATGGAGCGAAACATCTGCGAGGTAGCTTCTATCGTCGGGTACTGGTACCCAGTATCCGAAGATAGAAATTGGGACAAGGGATTCTGAAATACTGACCCGAACGACGGTGATGTCAGATTATGATTTGTGCCCGACATACATGTGGGAACCTTAGAGATACACCATTTCGCGTTGGTCAACGAGTTGATCGATATCGTAGCCTTGCTCAGAAGAGATCCCGTCCGAATTGCTCATGTACAGTATGATACGTCCTACTTTTATGCATATATGGTTGCAGCCATTTGTTTCCAGTTTTTGTACCCATCGTCATCGGGGACACTGTCGCCGGCCCGGTATTGATTTGATCACCTGACGCGAAAGCAAACGATCTAAGCGCGCGCTGACGCAACCGCCAATCTCGCTCGCTGTCTTGGCGTGTCTCCGCTCTCTCGCGTCCGGCGCGGCCTCACATTGTGGAGCAAACAGGCGAGTGATTTGGCACTACTTAATTCGTATGCACCTTTTCTCATGCCATGAGTGTTCAAGATGAGTACCATCGACACTGTGTCTGCGCGCTGTTTTCACCCGAAGGTTCGCCTCTCTACGGAAGTGCCGTGATAATACGATGAGAATTTCAATGCGCATCAGGGAGAGTCTCACACTGAACCCAGTGACCACACCAACCTCTCACACACTGCGGAGAGGTCGTCTGTCAGATACACAAATTCCATGCCACAGCTCAGCGCAAATATCGGCCCACGGGGGAAAGCTCTTTGGACCGCAAATGCAGGCTCCACCACGTCTGATGAGGTGCTGTATTCGCCTTCGCACGCGCTGTGGCTCCCGAGGTGGTGGGATCACCTCTGTCTGTCGTCTCATCCACCGACTCTCACGGTGTTTGCCTCCGACTGTTCCTGACTGACTGAACTTTTGCCGCTATGCCGGCATCCAGGTCCGAACTCGATGGTGGCCACGGCCGGCGGTGGGATGCAACTATCCAACCGTCGCTCTCTGGTTCCCCCCGGCAGACAGTCTTATCATTGGACGCTACACCACCGCGGACCTCTCTATCCGCCCCTTGGTTCCACGATTGAAAGAATGATATTGGAAGCAAGTCCCGCAAAGGCACAACAGCTTCAGCTTCCATACCACACCATGTGGACGTACTGAACGCCAGCTTCGCCCACGCTATACCCTGCACACGGACCAAGAATCTCGCCGCAGCCCGATTGCGCCCTTACTTATCGGCCCTTCCAGCAGCCCAGCTGGCGTCTTCTTCAATGCCTGCGGAACCTCAATTTGCTAATGGGTTCTGGGAGACACACTATAAGAATGTTTCCACCGAGCCTTCACCAGCTAGGTCGCCTCGGTCCTCTCTCTTCCTTCCCTGCCCCTCTGCGCCCCTCCTTCGGACTGCAATATGTCTGTCGAAGAGAAGCGTTCCTCCGGACCCGGATCGTGCCAGTCTCTGGACGACGAGAAGTACATCGCTGGTGACGTCGCGGTGGTATGTCTTGTCACCAAGGACATATCGGACGTGCGAGCTCGCTCACTCATTTTGTCAGGACGTCGTTGCTAAGGAGGTCCAGGCAGTCGCGGCTGACATCGAGGATGCGATCCAGCACGCGAAGGGAATGTCGCGCGAAGAGGTGGACGACGCCCTGCGGTACATCTATGATACTTTCGGGAAAGACCCCGTGCGTGCATAGTTCATGTCTTGAAACTGCTCCACCCGCTGAAACACATGCGCAGAACTTCCCAACGCACACCATTCAGCTCATCGAGAAGTACTTCGACGGTGAAGCTGCTGCCACGGACCCCGTGGAGCAGGCCAGGCTGTACGAGGAGCTCAAGGTCGAAGCCGCTCTCGTAATCATCGTACGTCCCATCGTCATGGATAACGGTCGCCTGCGGACATTCCCTGATTGTTGCTCGCTTTTCCTGCGCGAGCCCGCCAGGACTCGCCCTACGCCGAGGTCCGCGCCGTGGTCTCCGCAGAGGACGACCCGGAGATGCCGTCATTCACCATTCGCGCCTTTATCATCGGGATGGTATACGTCTGCATCGGGGCGTTCATCAACCAGTTCTTTGGGATCCGGCAACCGAGCATCACTGTGGACTCCAACGTCGCGCAGCTGCTTGCATACCCCGCTGGAAAGTTCCTGGAGAGAGTTCTCCCCGACTGGGGCTTCGTCGTCCCGTTCTTCGGCGAGAGGCTTTCTCTTAACCCGTGAGTGTCGAACCAACTGCAGAGCACGCTTGCTTATAGTATCGCGTACAGTGGACCGTTCAATATGAAGGAGCACATGGTGATCACGATCATGGCCAACGTCGGTTTCAATACTCCGTACACGACATCGATCGTTTGGGTCCAGTTCATTCCGCGCTTCTTCAACCAGCACTGGGCGGTGAACTTCGGGTACCAGGCTCTTAGTGTGTGAAATTTCTCGAATGCTCGCGGTGAACTGAAATGCCTTCCAGCCGCGCTTTCCACAAACTTCATCGGCTATGGTATTGCCGGATTAACGCGTCGTTTCCTCGTGTATCCCGTGTATGCGATCTGGCCCAGGAACCTCGCCATCATCGCGTTGAATGTGAGCGCGTGCACTCTGAAGTTTCGTTGAACACGTTACTAACGCTCTAGAGCAGAAAGCGTTCCACACGGAGGTGAACGCGGTAGCGAACGGCTGGAGGATCTCGCGCATGCGCTTCTTCCTCTACGTCTTCGCCGGCATGTTCGTGTACTTCTGGTTCCCGAAGTGCGTATCTCGATGCAGGTCAGGATGCTCGCACGACTAACAACCTTGTAGTTACATTATGGCCTTCCTATCTTACTTCAACTGGATGACTTGGATTGCGCCGAACAACGTCCTCCTTGGGGCGGTCGCCGGCAGCGTCGGCGGACTTGGGCTGAACCCGATCCCGACGTTCGACTACAACCAACTTACGGTTATTGGGAATCCCCTTATCAGCCCCTACTTCACCACGGTCAACATTTTCCTTGGTGCCCTCGTAACGATGCCGATCGTAAGGTTTCTTCAGGGCGTTCTGTTTATCACGCTGACTCATTCGCACAGGTCCTCGCTATCTGGGTGTCAAACGTCTGGTTCACTGGCTACCTCCCGATCAACTCGAACGGCGTCTTCGACAACACGGGGGCTAGGTACAACGTCTCGTTGGCCATCAATGATGAGGCATTGTTCGATGCCGCGAAGTATGAATCGTACTCTCCTGCTTACCTCGCCGCAGGGAACATCCTCATTTACGGTTTCTTCTGTACGTACCCGGCTGCGTAACCTCCTTTTCTCGGATCCTCATCATTTACTAGTTGCAATCTACTCCGCCACGCTATCTCACGCGTACTTGTACCATCGAGATGCAATCATCTCCGGCTTCAAGGATCTCATCAGGAGGAAGAAGTTCGACAAGGATGCCAAGTATGACGTGCATGCTCGTCTCATGTCCTCATACAAGGAGGTCCCAGAGTGGCACTACGCGATGTATGTTCCTTTCTCTTCGAACCCGCTGAAGATACTTAGTGTCTATAGTGTGGTCCTAGTTTCCGTTGCCCTCGGCGCTGCCGGTGTCGGTGCTTACCCCACGAACACGAGCCCTGCTGTCGTCCTCTACGGTATCTTCCTCGCGTTGATCTTTATGATCCCCGCCGGAATCATCCTCGCGGTCACCAACGTCGAAGTCACGCTCAATGTTATCGCTGAGTTCTTCGGCGGGCTCTGGTTCCCCGGCAACGCGACCGCGCTCAACTTCTTCAAGTCGTATGGCTACGTAACGACCGCGCACGCGCTCGCCTTCTCGTCCGACCTGAAGCTCGCGCACTACACCCACATCCCGCCGCGCATCACGTTCTGGTGCCAGATGGTCGCGACCGTCGCCTCCACCTTCGTCTCGCTCGGGATCCTCAACTTCCAGATGACCGGCATCGAAAACGTCTGCGACCCGCACCAGAGGGACCGCTTCACGTGCCCGGGCGAGAACACGTTCTTCACCGCGTCCGTCCTGTGGGGCACGCTCGGGCCCGCGCGCATGTTCGGGACCGGTCAGATCTACAACCCGCTGATCTGGTGCTTCCTCATCGGCTTCATCCTCCCCTTCCCCGTCTACTATCTCAAGGAGCGCATCCCTATGCTGCGCTACTTCCACCTTCCCGTGTTCTTCGCGGGAGCCCTCACCTGGTGCGTCGCGCTCCCTGTCCTAAGAGGACTTCGTTGTTGACGTAGTCTCCCAGGGCTCCTTACAACTTGTCCAACGTCTGGCCCGCCGTGCCGCTCGCGTGGTTTTTCATGGTCTACATCAAGAGCCGCGCGCTCGCGTGGTGGTCCAAGTACAACTACGTTATGGCTTCCGCACTCGCCTGGTACGTCCCTCGTCCTCTCCCCCTCTTCCACTCTCGCTAAGCACCGAACGGGCCACTCCCAGCGCGATCGCCATCTCGGGCATCATCCAGTTCTTTGCGCTCCAGTTCTCGGACGTCGCGATCGACTGGGTCTCGAACAACATCCCCTTCGAGGGCTGCGACTCGAACGGGTGCCCATTCCTCGAGATCCCCGAGAAGGGCTTCTTCGGTCCTGGAGTCGGAGAGTTTTCTTGAGGGGTTGCGGTCGTACGTTGCGTGTTAGGTATAATTTCGCATTTAGGGTCTCTTGAGAGCTGCGGACGATGTAGCAGCAATAACGCGATTGTATGATTAGGAGATGCCGTTGAACTACGCCGAAGTCGTTCCAGTGCATCTCCTCGGCGCATGATAGCAGTCGCAGCAGATTCCCACTTATGACTGTGCTGAGAGAAGCTCTGGGTTCACTCGCCCGCTGCCACAAAACGGTGCGTCGTTCACACATTATCTATCTGCATTCACGCGGTCGTGGGAGGAAACTCTGGAAATCACGCGTCTCAGACGTTCCATGTCATACGAAAGCTTGCCGTTCGCCGTCTCCGCTATGGTTCTTGCACTTCGTATCGGCACCGCGCGCTTCACCGAGACCCGGCGGTGTGGCCCTCGACAGATGGTCGCGTCGTTGAACTCACTGTCATGGCTCAGGCACACGACACGCGCCCACTGTTTCAATTGATGATACTTATCAATTCATTGGAGTGGCTACTAGTGCCAGCCTCGCTGCTGCGATCAAGGCTGGTGGCTCCTAATGGCTACTAGTGGGTCCAAGAGGCTCCATTCCGCCGTTCGTGGCAGCTGTTGTTGTCCTGGTACTGGTGAATAGACTGCTACGTACGTAGACCTCAAGTGTTTCTCACAATCGGAGGAGCGCTCGGCCTCATCGGCAATAGCCAACCGAGCCCCTACTAGTATGACAGCATGCTCGACGGAACGCATGCTCCCGATTGTGTAGCCACCGTATCTATGTGGCCACACCCAACAAAACTACGTTAGTATAGTCCCCATTAGTTAGCTCACTGGTGGCAGTTACGATGAAGTCGTGTAGGTTCACGCTGTGTTGAGCCTCTTGTAGTTAGTACTGCTACGCACATCCGACCTGTTTTCTTCACAGCCTTGCGAGTGCGCTTTGTGAAACAGTACATCAAATTGTACGATGTGGGAACTGTTCCGCGCGGGTGATTGCCACGAAGAGAAGGTGCGTTCTAAACCCAAGGTTCAACGTGCCGGTACCGCACGCATGGGCAGGTGACGCTGTCTACAAGCTCTGTACGGTATGAAGGTGTGCACATGCCACAGGCAAGAGCGAGGCAAAACACACGACGTATCGCGACGTCAAGCAGGCATATGATGACATTGCATAAGAAGGGGCACATAGGACATACGATTGTGTCATGAAGTGGAATGAGAGGGGAAATGGCAGGGATCAATGGTGGGGATCGAGAGTCGAGAGACTAGCCATCTTCGCTAATGGCACGCTCGATCGGAGAACACCGAGAGCGCAACGCGTCTGAGGGACGCAACAAAGGCAGAGAGCTGCAACAAGTCGAAGTGAGCATACCCTCACATAAACGGAGGCCTACATATCGCACTTACCTAGAGGAACTAGTTGACCTTCTTGTCAGCCAAGCGCCAGTTCGCGACGCAGAGATCGAAGAGAGTCTTGAGGATAAAATCGTCGGTGATGGAATACCAGAAATCGACATGGGCTGCATCTTGCGTCTTGTAGTGGAGGACAAAGTCATCTTCATCGTCATAACGGCAGATGAGAGCTTGAACCCCGTCGCCCTCAGTCGCAGGAGCCAGACGACAGCCAAGACCGACAAGGTTGCGATATTCCTTAAGCCGTAAGGCGTAATTTTGAAGCTGGAAAACCGGATTGGCGGTACGCTTGTCCTCGACAACAAGGATGACGTTGATGATCCTGCCGCCGTCATCAACGCACATGATGACGAACTCCGGAATGACGAAGTTGTCGGTAACTTCTCGCTCCAAAGAGTCACGGCCGATGGAGACAGTGTTAGTATCAGCACACGCATACAATGGCTCGTTGAGCTTCCATTGTGCGCGGAGAGAGAACCCCCCGTCGGCGGTGAAATTGCACGCCAGAAACGAGCCAACCACAGCGTCCAGGCTGGCCTCATAGCGAGTGGTTGCCCGAGAGAGGCGCTCAATCGCCTTCAGAATCCAAGGTGCGATGCGTGCCTTGAACTCGTCCAGATCACGCTGCGAGCAAGATCAATGAGATATATAGATAATGCATGTAAGAAGACGTACAGGAGGCTGCTTCGGGTCGAAGCTTGGAGCCGGCGGACACTTCCAGAGGCTATTCATTACCGTGTCAAGCTTCGCGAAGTCCTTACTGCGCGAGCGTGAGTAAGAATGCGTGTGGTACGGAGTTCACAACATACCCGTCATTGCTCTGTGACCGATTGTCAGCAAACGAGTTAGTACCAAGCGATTTAGTGAGAGAAAGGATGCGCACGAGAGTCTTCTTGTATTCGGCCAAGAGCAGGGTGATATCTGCAAGAATATCGCCATCGACAAGGCGATCAATGTGCGTGAGATCTATTTCTTCGGGCTCCTCGGTCTTTGGTTCGCGACTCATGGCGCGAGTCATCCGCGGATCGGGGGAAGAAAGGCATGGCTCTTCCGGATCTTCCTCTTTCTGGTGAATCAACGAAGTGTGTTTAGTGGGTGCTAATCTCGGAATGGAGGCGTAACACTCATACCTTGACACCACTCTTGACTTCTTTGATCTGTTGGATTGTTCTGAGCACCATTTCCCTGACCTTCTTACATTTGGGGCTGTTAAGTACATCAATAGTCGAGTTTGGTGATGAGCAGAGTTGAATCGTACTCGTAAGTTTCCTGGACGACAGAGGTAGTGAATTCAAGGTGTTTTCATAACACCGTGTGGGGGACGTACCATACTGCCTGCGTACGCGAAAAGCATCCCCTCGAGTTCATCAAACGTAAACTCCACGTTGGACTCTAGTTTGGGGGCTGAAATCGGAGTATCCGTCTGTTCCTGCGACTGCGACGGACTGAGAAGCGGAACACATGGTAAACATTCACATGTAGAATGGCAACGAAAACGCGAGCACTCACCCAGTTTCCGCATCGGCTGAACTGCTCCCTCCCTGTTGGCTTCTTCGAAGCTCCTAAAAAGCAGTTGATACTATTGTGGAGTAGAAAGTCAGACATGACTCACCGAAACATATCCTGACCACCTAGCAGCCACAGCTTTGCCGAAAGCTTTTACTGTCCGCGCCTGCGTCAATCACAAGAAAGGTGAGTGAAGATTGTACTGAGAGTAGCAAGACATACAGTAACGTTGTCACTCGGACTGGCCAACGACATGCTGTGGACAACCCTTGCGCAATGATTGAGGAGATCGTTCCAGTTAGTCGGAGGCAAATTGATCCGCCGCATAGTGCGCTCTTCTTCCTCAAGAGAGGGCTGCCCATCCTGTCGTCTAGCATGTGTATATATGAACAGAGAGTGGTGGGGTGTCGACGAGGGAAGTACTCACCGTTCTCGTCGAGCTTGACGCTCATCGCGCGCAGCTTTGTCCTGCTCTTTCTTGGCCGCTCGCGCTGCGTTTTCCTGCTCCTTCTTGGCCGCTCGTGCTGCATCTTGCCACTCCTTCTTGGTCGCTCGCGCTTCCCTTTCTTGATCCTTCTGTTCCGCTTGTGCATTTAAAACCTTCTCCGTCTCAGCCGTATCTTTCTGCTTCCTTGCGCCGCTATGCATAGGTGAGTGTGATAACAAGTGAACGAGCCTGGAAGCGTACAATTTCTTGGCCTTGGACATGACGAAAGCTATACCAGAGACGAGGAGGTAGCGAAAGAGTGAGAAAAACTTGCGTTATACCAGAGGGAGGAAGTAGTAAGAGGAGAGGAGAGGGGGTACAGAGTGGTTGAAAGTGGTTGACGGTGGTGGGCCGGGGAGGCGGTGGATCGTGGAGGTGGTGGAGAAACATAGGAAGAGCGCCGGCTGAGATGTTTTATACCAAGTGGAACAATGGGATCTCGCGCAGACACATTATTGTCCGCTTGTGGTTGAGGTCACGCCTCATGGGACTGTTCAGAAAGTGCGGAGTTCGAGGATGGTTGGGATTGAGCGCTAACTGCGGCTGACGGCCCGCGACACGCGACCACGTGACTGGACCACTCGCGAATTCGAACAAAGGCCGAATGGAGCGCAACTTGTATTTGCTCTCTCTGACCCAACTCTGACCACCATCACCCCCGCATCTCCCTACCCCGCTCTCGACCGCCACTCATCGTCTTCCCCGTCACTATGTCGAACATTGATTCCGCCTACGTCGGAGGCTATCTTTTCTCCCTCGAAGCTGTCAAGCATCTCCTCGTGATGGCCTATGGAGTACATGAGGATGTCGCCACCCTCCAGACGGCACTGAGAGTGCTCTCTCAGCATAGAGACCTTGACTCCCCGAACTTCGTCCCATATGGCCCCATCGATACAAACCACAACTGTGCTCAAGGTTGGGTCTTGGGGTGCAGGCTTGCATTTATCCACAGCGGGTCATCTTCACTGGACGTCTCCTTGGACTGCAAGGCGCAAGCGTACGCCGACTACTGGTTTCCTCCACATTTGCGAGGCCTCGCGGAGTTCAAAGACGTCAAGTACGTGCAGTCCCGTTATAGAAGAACTGCCCATCGTACGTAAACCGCACCCTGCCATTTTTATTCTTTACTGATCACAGAGATGGCTTGCTACACAGCTACGGGATTCATATGGAATAAGGCTAAGGAGTGCGCAGGAGAGAAGATTCGCGTATGCCCAAGGACGCGTGCGAAGTGGCTCAGGGGACAGGAGCAGCGAGGGCAACTCTATCCGTGCATTGTAAGTCCCCCTTGTCGTGCACTGCGTTATATGCCTCTGAACGTACTTCAGTCCCCACCCCTTCCTTCTACTCTCTACGAAGACGAGTCCTCGGAAAGCGAAAGCGAGACGGAATCGATCATGGAGGGTGCTTCTACCGTCAAGCCACGGACCCCTCAGGTACGTGATCTGTCCCCGCATTGTGTGCAGGCCATCTGACTTGCATTCGTGACCAGCATCTTGAACGGCGCAGACGATCTGGGCAGCTCTTGGGCTCCACTTTGAACGTTCTATCTAACGTGTTCACCACCATGACGGAACTACGGGCTGCCACTGCGTACTAAGTCCGAGATTTGTTGTAACTTATCTTTGTATCTTTATTTCTTTGTTCAACTCTGCGACTCCACCAACTCGTTCATTCTTCGTGTGCGTGGCCACGAGTACCGTTTAGCGAGAGTGGCGACGGACCCGCCCGTGTGATTTCTAGTGGTCGATGTCGGTGGGGCCGGAATCGAACTCCCCGCCCTGAGCAACTCGCTTGATCAGCGCTAAATTGTTACTTGACTCTTTCTCTTCACCATGGTTTGCATCTCGGTCCTCGAACGACGCTCAAATCCTGGCTTAGAACTGTTGGTTGTTTCCTTCTGTGGTCCTGCCTCCCGCCGGCCTCCGCAGTCTCTTACTCAACACACTCGAGTCAACGGCGGACAAGGATCATTTCCAGCTCGGCGAACGGTAGCCGCAGACGTACGGCATTGGGAGGGACGAGATGATGATCGTCAGGGTCAGAAACGACTCGCGAAGGTAAGCTTCACTATGCTTTCCTCCATGCCCTCCTCCATGCCCTTCCACTTTCCAAGGATGCTTCTCCGCCTCGTATTTCCCCGCACGTCGACATCATCGCTCCAACCCTACATTTCGAGACTCTTGCTATGCGTCTTGCGCGACGCGCAATGACGGGCCCAGAGATAACAACAACCGTCATGGTCAGAGGACAGTTCATGTAAGTTCGTCTACCAGCTTACGGGCCATGCGGACATATCTTGACGGTGTCGCCATTGACAGGTGGTCTCCTCTGACCTAGACCACTGCGATGAAGTTATGACGCTCGCCTGTCTGCGCGCCCTCTACAACTTCAACTATGACCCTGTTTCGACGGTCACCAATAGCATCAGTACCGGTAAGTCGTTTCAGTGACCGTCCTAACCCTCGTGTTTACTCCGCTTCCATCAGCGCAATACTCTCCGGAGTACCATCTCGAGTCCGACTTCGACGTCTTCTTCGGCAACTACTCTCAGGACCAGATCGATCAGCGGCCTTTGTTTGTGAGCATAGATGGCGCCGAGCTCGTCCAGAACAATATTTACCTCGAGTCCAGCCTCGACATGCAGTACGTCATGGGTCTCGTCGGTCCAAAGCAGCCCGTCACTCTCTACCAAGTCGGCGATAACATCAAGGGCGGCTCCTTCAACACATTCCTCGATGCCTTCGACGCAGACTACTGCACGTTCGACGGTGGGGACGATCCTGTTGTCGATCCAGTGTATCCGGACACGCTTCCCGGTGGATTCACCGGTCCGCTGCAGTGTGGCGGCGTCCCACGAACCCTCGTTGTCTCCACGTCGTACGTCGACCAGGAGGCGATGCTCACTCCAGCGTACGCGCGACGCCAATGCGCCGAGTACGGCAAACTCTCGCTCATTGGAATCACCTTCGTCTTCGGTTCGGGTGACACTGGCGTCGCGGGTTTCTTCGGTGACTCGGACTGTCTCGACGAGAACAACCAAGAGAATACGTCCACCGGGACGCGGTTCAACCCTACCTCTGCCCCTACGTCACAACCGTCGGTGCGACCCAGGTTGTACCGGGGAACACAGTCGCCGACCCCGAAGTCGCGGTGTTCGAATTCGCCTCTGGGGGCGGCTTCTCGAACATCTTCCCGCGACCCGCGTTCCAGCAGGCCATGCGCCACCGTACTCGGCGGGGACGTTCAACGCCACCGGGAGGGCATACCCCGACATCGCCACCAACGGCCTCAACTACTCCGTCGCGATCAATGGTGCGCTGACGCTTGTGGCGGGCACGTCTGCGTCGACGCCAACGTTCGCCTCCTTGGTGTCCGCGATCAACGATACACGGCTCGCCGCGGGCAAGGCTCCTGTCAGGTGGATCAACCCTGCTGTGAGTAAAGTTCCATCTGCGCTCTGACTGGTGACTGGTTCTGACAGTTCTATTCACGCCATAGCTGTACGCGTTCGCGGACGCATTCAACGATGTCACCGTCGGGAACAATTCGGGTTGCAACACAATAGGTTTCGCTGCGGTGGCGGGATGGGATCCGGCGTCTGGCCTGGGCACACCTGACTTTCAGAAGTTGCTTTCCCGCTTCTTGGAGCTTCCGTGACTGAGCGGGAGAGTGGGATCTGGGTTCGCAAGAGTCTATCCATGAGGCTTTCCGAGTCCATGTACTTATATCGTATCCAGGTACTCCTGCTACCAGATAAACCTTTCGCGGGATAGACATAGGTCCGCGATGCGAGGACTCGTCCGAAATGTTACCGTTCTCCCAACGGTTTGCAGCGCTCGGCTGACACGTAACGACTGGTTTCAAACCGACCAAACCGGCTTTCTGTTTTCTCTCGAAACCATCAAGCACCTATCTATCAGGGCCTATGGAATGGACGACCCCAATTCCAAAAGCAGTCTGATGACTGGCGCCGCAACACAAACTATGGGCTCAGTCGCCATCTGAACATCCACGGCCCAGGCTTCGGTCCCTATGGCCCCACTGTCACTGTGCAAAAGGATGGCTTCTGGGCTGCCGCCTTGCATTCGACGAGTTTCCTCGTCTCGTTCGTGCTGCAGCCGTCTGAGTATGCCGATCAACCTGATAGCTGCGACGTTCGTATGGGACAGCGCTCGAGCATGCGCGGACGGGGGACCCGGCTGCAAGCGGATTGGCTCAGGAAAGAGGAGGAAAGGGGATACCATCACTCGTCTATTGTCAGTCCCCCCTCGCTCATGGTGCCGTTCAATCCTCAATGCAGTTTCAGCCCCCGCACATAGCTGCCATCATATGCGGACACAAGGAAGATGGTATCAACGCCGATAGCGGTAGCAGTGACACCCCTGTCAGCCCGGAACTCAAGATCCATAAAACACCTCCTAGCGTGCGGGAGCCTATGGTGCGATATTTTCCGCTTTGGCGTTGTAGCCAACCTGCTGACCGCCGCTGCATCTATGCAGCATATATACAATACGAGCCGCCGCATCGTGACGATAACCCGCTTCTCATCGACAGGAATACTTACGTCGCATTGCCACTACGTTCTCCCTCATACCCATAGGCCGAGCCGCCCGTAACGGAGGTCCCATCCTCGACAACGCTATCCACTTCACTGGCCGAACCGTCGCGCCAGAAGTCTTCAGGATTGAGTGTCGCGCCGACGGACGTGGCGACCTGGGCAAACGTTATAGTCCGCCATGCAGCGCCGTCGCCGTCGGAGGTGGTGGTGATTCCGTTCGAGGATGCGACACCCAGTTTCAGGTCCTTCTGGTTGACCCTCTGCAGGCGCAGCAGGAAGCGGGCGATCAACACGGCGGTGACCCTGGTTTACGAGCACCGGCTTCAGTACAGAGGGCGGAGTATCCGGACGGACGGAAGCTCGCGTACGGTTCGATCAGAGCCGTGACGTTGCTGATCTGGGCCCCGGCTTCTTGGAAAATCTGCGCGTCGTCGAGAGTCAACCTTCAGAGTGACCCAACACGGGAACAGCGTTCGTACAGACGCGAGTGTGAACGCCATTTGCAACACGTTCAGCGCGAGAAGAACGCTGTCGGTAGCGCATTCAATGTGGATTGGTGGCGACCATCAACGTGCACATACATGAAGTAGATTGTACCTAGGGAACTTCGATCAGCCAGGGAAGCTCAACGAGACGACGATGATTCACACACCATCGCACAAGAGAATGCTTGTGACGGTGACGCTATGTCGCTGGAAGAGTAGAGACCAGCCCAGCGCACCGTAGAGTTTGTACCAGGTGATACCGATGAGCAACAGGTCCGCCATGATGAGCGAGGATCTGGAAAGGATGGTGACTGAAGGGGAAGCGGATCAACGACCAGATGCCCGAGTCGTTTGGAGACACGCCTACATCTGTATGTTGGAAGGTTTAGTGAAATGGTGCCGTGTTGCACCACGGAGATAGCTCACGTTAACGGAAGCTGGGTGGGAAGGTCTTGGAGGTATCCACACCCAAAGATGGGGTCACTCGAACCAACATAATTGAAGCCTAGATGGGTCTGCACCATCAGTCAGCGCGGGTATGTGTGAGCAGAGGACAGAGACACCGACAAGATCCACTCCCACTGGTACCATGGAGAATGTACCAACAGCGACGGCTAGATATGGGCTACGGCTCAAGGCGTAAGCTCGTAGAGCGGAGAACGCTAGCATAATCGCGTCAGGTGAAGATCAAGAGGCGGGGAACCATAACGACGTACCAGCCCAGACGAAATAAGGGAATGTGGATAACACTACTGCAGCGCCTTCGACCCCGCCGCAGCTGGATGAACATATTAGCGTCCTAGGCGAGAAAAAGGTGATCACAGGGCTGCTTACACCTGCCGGAAGTCAGTCCTAGAGTGAGGATGAGTAGGACGGGACTAACTTGGTCGGAGAAAGTGGTCACAAATGATACGCTATTGACGATTACCGACAGGAGGAAGACGTATTTGTTCGCAAGGTAGAGCACTTGGGCGCCCGAGAGGGGACGTCCCCAAAACAAATTGATCTCATCGTCAAGCAGCAGCAAGCCGTCATAAACGACCAGAGCTGTGGAAAGCATCCGTAAGAAGGGGAGGCTCGCGCTGCGAGGGGCAGCGAAGAGACGAACCTAAACCCGCAATTATGCTGCTCTCCGCTATCTTCCTGCGTTGTGGGGGTAACCAACAGGGACAAGTGGATCTTAGCTGCGAGCGACGTACCCGTCCGCGTAAGACTGGATGATCTCATTCACGATGACTGCGTCGGAGTCCATGCCAGGGTCTCACCGAGGGAGAAATGGCAGTATCGCGCCCCGAGGACCCGTTTATAACAATACCGGGCGCGCTCGTAGAACGGCGATCCGATGAGCGGAGCGCTGCAGCGGGTACGAGTGACCAGCCAGTGATGTTCTTGACTGGTGAATCGAAGGGGAGGCAGTGGAGAAGGTTCGGGCGCAATGTTTCATCACGAGGTAGAGATCGAAGCTTCGGAGTTGTTTAATCCTTATCGGCTTTAGAGAGCCTCTCTCGGTCTGCACAACCGTCGCAGGAGAACTGAGGAGAAAAGACTACAGCCCTCGCGATGACGAAGAAATGCTCACAGAAAGGCCTGGACACCGCGGTGTAGAAATACAAGTAGGCCGACTTGAGTGTAGCCTCCCGCAAATGCAGCGGAAGCGTAGGCGTTCGAAGCGAAGCCAGGAAGACCTTCAGAACATTGCGAAAACGTGATTGTATGTTCGTCGGCTTCAGAAAGGCTCCAGCGATTCTCGCACTGCTTGGCCTGTGCCGCTACACATGACAAGAGGAAGAACACGATAAGCCCCGTGGTGACGCAGCGATAGCTCACGGGGGAAGCCTCTCCGTTACGGCATTGAACATCAAGAACGACTCGACTTCTAGCCTCCACGTCAGATCCGCCTAAGCTGAACCCGACCAGTACATTCGACAGCGATCGCGAGGTTCATGATACAAACACCACCGCAGGGCGCCAACTACAGCGCGATCTCCACGTCCAACCGGGCGAGGTACGAATACACGTCGGGCGACATCCTGTACTTCAGGTTCCCCGCGAAGATGAGGAGCGCCCTCGACTTTTTGCGCAGCATCGCGATTGTCTGCCCGCATGCTGTCAGCGACCCGCGCACAAGGAGAGGGGTAGGTGTACGGCAGGGAACGTACCGTCTGCCGCGACGCCTCCGGGAGCGACGACGCCTTGACCTTCTGGTGCACGGCGGCGAGCACGTCCATCGTGAGCTGGAGGAAGGTCTGCAGGTTGCGCTGGAGCGCGTCCGGCAGGTCCTTGAACTCCTCCGCGCGCTTCGTGATCTTCGCCACGTCCGCCTCGAGCGGGATGAGGTCCGTCGATTCCATGAGCTGCATCAAGATTAGCATCGCATATCGACGAGCCTTTGTCGCCAACGCACCTCGAGCGCAGCCTCGACCCTCCCCACGGCCTTCGCGTCCATCGCCTCGCGCACGCGCAGCAGACGCACGACCGCGTCGCGCTCCTTGCCCACCGCACGGTTCGTGCGCTCGTAGTGGCGGAGCACGTCCGCGGCGGTGCGCTCGACCGCGCGCGCCTTGTCGTCTACGCTAGGTTGCGTGATCGTGCTGCCGAGCGCCCGCGCCAGCACCCCGACGACGGTCACGTAGTCGCCCGCGAGGTTGTAGAGCTTGATGGCCTCTGGGACGCGATCCGCCTCCTCGGACGCGCGCGCAGCGCGCTCGAGTATGTGCTCGTTGTACGCGCGCGTATCGTCGAGCTTCAGCAGGGAGGCGCTCTGCTCGATCGCGCCGCTCTGGAAAGGTGCGTCAGCGGTCGCGTGGATGAGATGGAATAGTAGAACGTACGAAGCGCGTGCCATCGGGCCTAAATCCCCCGACAAGCTCCTCCCAGGCGGCGCCTGTGTTCGCCAGGACGATGATCCGGCGGACGAGGTCCCAGGCAGTCTCCACTTGCTCTTTTCCTGCACCACCTGGTTGGTCGGCGCTGAGACAGACAGAGTAGACGTATTGAAGAGCTTCGCGGGCATCCATGCGAACGAATTGGCGGATGTAACGCCAGATCAGCGTCGAGAGACTCAGCGCCGGTGGTGACGATGACGACAGGGTCACTAAGGAGAAGACATGAGAAACAAATAGCAAAGACGGAATGGCACTCACAAGGCGTAATATCAGATGTTTCTGCCCTCAACGGTACACGGAGGAGACCATGATACGCCAGAGCGATGGCCAAGTGAACGGCTTCGACCTCCATCTCGTTGTGGTCCCAGAGCGCAGCAACAGCCTGGAAAGCGTCAGCGTTACCCGTAGTGGGCCGACGATGGATGACTTACTCTTTCGAACTGACCACACATGAGCAGTACCCCTGCCCATACTCCGCGTTTTGCACCCTTCTGGCCGGGGGCGCCGTCGAAATGACGTTCGCCGTATCCAAGAAGGACCTCCGAGAGACCCCTGAGACCGCCGAATTCATCCTCATCCACCTGGTATCGCCCTTGAATACCACAAGCAGATAGGTAGCAGTAAGATGACTCACCATCGATAGCTGGAACCATAGCCAATCCTCCGTAGTGACCGTCACACCCGCGACACTCCGCCTTGACGGGTCGATCTTGCCCATAAGCTTGTACAGCGCAAGTTTGAAAGGATCCGCCGAGGAGGAATGGAGCATGTGTGCATTATATGCCGCATGAAGCTGGTCGCGATGAGGTTTTGGCAACCTATAAACTCGTCAGTCATCCCGACAGGTCAGGTAAAACCGTATGTACGCACCGCCGATCTGGAGACTCGATCCACGCCCGCAAATGGCTGAGGAAGCTCGACTCGCGACGCTCAATTGCCACCTGGTGCTGCATTGCTTCCGCCAACGCCTCCTGTAGGTGTCCTGTTCGTATCATGTAGAACAGTCTGGCCCACAATGGCTGACCCGCGACGAGCTGCAAAGTAGGAACGAATGCTGCGTTAAGAACCCACGGAAGAGGAGAAGCGAAAGACATACCTCGACGCGGTCCTCCCACTCGCCCATCCGGTAATGCCTAACAGACACGTATGCCCTGATCTTGTTCGACACACTCGGGTCTCCTCCCAGCCGTGCCTCTTGCGCGCGGGCCTGCAGCGTCCGTTCGACAACGTCCCAGTACTGCTCCTCAAGTGCTTCCCGTGCGCCCTTGGCGATTTGCCTACGGAGCTCGACAGCTTCTCTTGATTCAGGGTCACCGAGGTAGGCGCGCGCGTATTTGCGTTCGATGAGTGGCGTGTTGAGGATGTGCGCGCCCGCATGTGCAATTGGAGGTAAGGAAGGCGGTTCGGCGGTGATCTTGGAGAGAACGTGGAAGTTCTGGGATATTTGAAGAGAGCCGGACTACCCACCACTTGTCAACGTGAAGAACGGGGCAGACATAGCCCGCAAGATGTCCCGGACTCGCCACGATGGATGGAGGTACTCACGTCAGAGTTCGCGGACAGCGAAGCTTGAATGAGGGCGTGGACGATGGGAAACGAGGTGCCGCGTAGACGCGATGTGTTCAGTTCGGAGACAACGTGGTCGTAGGCCATCATCTTGCTCTGCATCTGAAGACTGGGCGCGGGCCCAACACTGGTCTATACAGATGTCAGCGAACTACTCATAGCCGTGTGCATCTCCACAAAACGCGTGTCTTCGTTCATATTGATGCCTTTCCCTTGGCATGGGGTTTCGGGCGCACAAGTTGAGCAAATGAGATGAACACTCACAGAAAGCAGTGACTTCCCATGCGAGCTCTTCTTCATCTCAGCCACCGCCTTGTTCTCCCCAACCACGCGCGCGCCGAGCTGCTCGAATACACGCCTCTTCTTTGCCTCCCAGTCTCGCCGCCCGCGATCCTCCAACACGCGGTAAAACTCCTCCTGGGTTTCTTTCCGGCCCTCCTCGATCGTCGAAATGAGGTTTTGTTCGTGCGCATGGCGCAGGTAACCCGCAACATCGGTATCTTGTAGCGCCTGGAGTGGTGAGAAGGTCGTCTGGGTGTTCAAGTGCGCGATGGAGTTCGCGAGGGCTGGCGCGTCGACGTGCGCTTGCGCGAGGAGGTAGTTTCTGGTAAAGTGGCGCGCACAAAACGATCAATATGCAATGTCAAAGTACAAAAAGTGAGAACTCACGCGCGACTCGCATCTCCAGAGGTTCCGGGTTGCCGTGACACGAGCCTTCTTGACTGCGCCTCAATCTGCTCCAAGGAAAGGTTGACGGAAGGTAGGTCGGGGCGAGAGAGATGCGAGGTGAGCGCCTTGGACGCGTTGAGCAGCGAGGAGAGGTTTGCCGCCATTGTGTCTTAACGGAGCATAAAGTGGAGGGACGAGCGAGAGTGCAAGTGGCGGGAGGAGACAAGACGCGCGCCGCGTTCAAGGCAAGTTGCAACGCGTTCCACATCACGTGCACGCAATTGGCGCCAATCGAGCTCGTTGAAGATCTGCACGCCAGGACTTGCTCCTCCTCCTCCGGTCGTCGGTCGACCCTTGGGTAAGTGCTCCTCTGATAAGTTGGATGCACCGATAGTGCTATTCAGTAAATCTTCAGTCTTTTTATGCCAATTCTCAGTGAACGCCAGGGTTTCCATCGGTGTTTAGCCGAGTACCGTTTGACTCACCCTGCCCGTGCCCTGCCAGCCCGATGGCAAATATGTTCCATGGTCGTGACGCGTATTATCAAACTCTACCGGAGAGAAATGACCTCATGCTTCGTCCAGTTATCGTCCCATGGCTCCCGATGGTCTACTTGGACAAAGTGTGTGGCAGGACCAGGCAGAACCATCAGCAGCGATTGCATGCCAGTAAGGAGTGGCCCATAGTCTACGGAGGCTTTCCGGCTCACTCAAAGTCTCAGCATTCCCCTTTTCAGCTCCGAGCAACTACTCGGTTTGTCGGGCAGAATCTGACAGCTCCAACCTCCATCCGATAGAATGCCCCCATATGTGCGCCGAACTCGCTTTCTTCCCGCCTGGCTGTCCCCTACAAGTCCCCGCTCTTCTCCCCAACCGCCAAAAGAGCCAACGCACCACCCGTCCCAGATGGGACACAACGGACTTCTCATCATGCGGCACACGAACCTTCCTCGTACACTCTGACGCACATCTGTGCTCCTAGCTGCGATTGAGGAGCCTTCGTCGTCCGCGCCCTGGCGCGCCGACCTTCGGCTCGTGGCCTAAGGGGCCCTCCAAGCTGTCGGGCACTCTTGTACGGATGCCACCATGTTAATTCGAATCCGACCCAAGAACGACTTATCGGTGATGAACAG